CCAGCGCCACCGCCTCCGCCGCCGCCTCTCGCTTCTCCGCCGCCTCCGCCTCCTCCCGCGCCGCGCCCACTGCGCAAGCGTCGCCCGCCTAGGGCCCGCCCCTTCCTCTCCCGGAGGCCCGCCCTTCAGTGGCGTCACAACCCCGTGACGTCCCCCGCGTGACCTCACCGCGGTGGAGCGAGGGGGCGGGAAGTGAGAAGAAGCAAAGGCACTGTGGGGCGCCGGAGGGAGGGGGGGTTGGCTCCTGGCCTGACCTTCTCGCCCCGCCTTCACCCTCAAGGGGCGGAGTTAAAGCTCAAGGTTGGGTGAGAATGTCGGGGATCTTCGACTAGGTCGCACAACTCCACCATTTTGCAGGTGAGGAAACTGAAGTCCGAGAAGAGCAGAGACCATGACAAGGTCAAGTACCAAAGTGGACCCCCGGAACCAGTCCTCCCAGCCAAGGGTTTGTCCCTCGCGCTGGAAAGACTTTTTGCATGAGTTTCCAGAGCTGCTTTCCCGGAGGGATACTGCTTAAATCATTGGCTCCAAAGTCCCCTCGGTGGTGATTACTACAGTTTATCAGTGCTGTTTCTGTTATGCAAGGGTGGTAGCCAGTCTCCGGGAAGTAAAGGAGGCCTTGATACAAACATCAATCATAGGTCCAGACGGACACCACCCGTAATCTTCCACCCATTCTGGCAAGGCCAACCCTCTCAAAATAAAGGCTAAGTCGCAAGAATTTGGCATGCCTTGTTCTGTTTTTTAAATAGAAGGCAAAGTGTTACTGTATATATGGGACACCTGGTAAAAGCTTCGTTTCAAGATGAAAGAATGAGAAAGGAAGCATAGGAATCATCTTGTCTACCCACTTTTAAAAGCACTTCACTCAGGAAGTGCTTTTAATCACCACTATTTGCCCCACGCTCTGCTACATCCAAAAGGGTGAAAGATGAGTAGGGAATTGTCTCCTGCCTTCAAGTAGTTCTCTTTCATAAATAAGGAAAGAAATCCAGAAAGCTTAGATGCCTTGTCCAAAAATACAGGACAGCAAAACTAGAACCCAGCTTTCAAATTCCTAATGGAGTATGTTTTCCAGAGCAATTTCAACAGCAAACAGAATTAGAATAAGTGACTGGTAGCGTCCAGGGTGCCAGGAGGTTTTAGAAAAGGAAAACATTCTACCTCCTTCTGCCCCACTACCAAATAAGAATTAGTAAAACCATGGCTTTAGAGGCCTTGGTTCTGAGGGTCACACACATTTGGGATTCAAATTCTTGTTCTGCCAGTTATTTGTAATCATAGTGCTTGCACATATAGGATTGTTGTGAGGATTAAATGAGGTAAGAATGTATGAGCTCAGTACTGTGCCTGCTCCAGAAGAAGCACTCAAGAAATGGTAACTTTGTAGCCATAAACATGACGGGTGGCTATGGGGTTAAACAGTGATATAAGTAGGCAGGGATTACTTTCTCCCCTGGCCCCTCTTCTACTTTCTGGTCCTCTCTTAAAAATATAAAATATGTGCCTTTTCTCTTTTCCTATTAAGGGACTGCCCTTTCTCCAGAGATTTTTTCCCCCCACTCCAATGTGAATATCTTATGGGAGACAGACACCTTTAACAGCATAAGATAATAATACTTACGAACTCATACCATACAGTAGTTATAAACATTCTATAAGAAACTGTTCTTGGGCCTCTGAAATCTGTATGGAAGCTTAGATCATTGCCAGTACCTAATTTTTTGGTGGCCACAATTTTGGGATATTTCACTAATATTAAGGAAAATTCCGTTTCCCTCAGAGGTGAGCACATATTGCCCCAATCTTATGGATGATGTAATGGTGACACAGAAAGATTATAAAAATCACAATATTAGAACTGGAACGAACTGAAGCTGTCTAGTCCAATCTCCCCATTTTACAGATGAAAATGAAACCAAGAGAGAGAAATTTATTTTCCCAAGATTACACAGCTCATAAGGGGTCTCCAAACTTCCAGTCTTGCTCTCTACCCACTGTGTCTTGCTGCAATTCCATTTATAGTTTGAGTTCAATTTGGCCTTACATACAAAATAATCAGAAATTTTGACACAAGTACTGATTTGATGTTAGAACATAGAATTTCTAGAAAGTGTTTTAATTTGCAACATCCATGGATTAAAGTTGTGTTGACAAAGGATCCAAAAGAAGTAAATGCTACTGGAACCTGACAACTCCATTAGAATGCTGACCCAGGGGAAACTACAAACTCTTGGCCAAGTACTTGGGTCTTAGCTCACACCTAAACAGCCCACATAATGCAAAGAGATCCTTGCAAATAAGAGACCCAAACGGCTCAGAACTATAGTTCACGATGAGTATTATCTCAAAGGAGTACAACTACTCCTCAAGTGAATTCTAAAACTTTGTGGGGACATTTTTGGTTCTCATAGATTGGCATGGTACCCTGGCCATTAATTTCCTGAGGACCAAGGATGCTGAACATCTGCAATCACTGGGACAGTCATGCATAATAAAGAACTGTTCTATCCCTAACCACTGTGCAGAAACACTGACCAAGGTGGCTGGCACATTAAATATAAAGGAAGAACCACCCCCACCCCCACCCCCATGGAATGGTTCTCTTGTGGGGACAGGATATATAAGGGAGGGAATGAGGTGTTACCCAATCAGGAGACTCCCAGAACTGTGGATTTCCACTTGAGTCTGAGGAGTTATTAAATATATAGACGCAAATCTGCGTCACTGGTCCACAATGTGTTAACAACACCAATGGTTCTTTCCTGAGAGCTCTACAGCTTTGTTTTGTTTTGCTAGGAAGAGGGCCTGGAGAAGGACTGGTTGAGAGGCAAAGAAATAAATGTCTGAGCACCACCCTGAGGAAGGAAAGCTGACAGCAGTATTCTAAACGGGCTTCTAGGTGCCATCATAGAACTATGTCAGGGGGTATGCTTGGATATGTCTCTGCCCAAGAGATGCCCAAGACCAGCCAGTTTCTTTCTGAATTTCTTAGGCTGGTGATCTCGTATAAGAAATTCAAACTAATTCCAGATCCTAAGACCAGGTCAGTTTCAGGGTTTCTTAAGGGAGTTAAGCCATTCTATCATTCAGAAGTTGAATGTCTAGGAGAAAAGTGATTTGTCTCACCAGGGCAGCCTAGATTGCATCCAGATCTCCAAGTCCTTAAGATTCAGAATTGCCAAGGCCAACTAGTACTAAGATTTTGCCACATTATAGTATAATTGATTTAGAGAACAAAGAGCCCAAATAGATGTTAGGGTACATTATATAATCATAGTAATTGTAGTAAAATTTTTTGAGTGTACATTCAAACCGTGATGACCTCCTTTTTCTGCAAACCATTAACAATCCTCTAGGTACTGTGTTTCCCTGAAAATAAGACCGGGTCTTATATTAATTTTTTGCTCCAACAATCTACATTTATTCATTTATTCATGTACAAAGATTTACATTTATTCAAATAGTCATGTCTGGCTGACTGACGATCTTAACTGGGGCTTATGTTTGGGGTAGGGCTTATATTACGAGCATCCTGAAAAATCATGCTAGGGCTTATTTTCCAGTTAGGTCTTATTTTTGGGGAAACACAGTAGCCCCCAGAAGCCATATCTGCCCCATATAATGCTGTCCTTTAGCTGTTATTGACTGGACAAGATGGAGGTGCCTGACGTAGGATCAGCCAATCAGATTCTCTAGCTCAGGAATTTAGAATTAGAACTCAATGAGTTGGTGGAATGGGCCTAGGCTGTTTACTTGAAACTGAGTGATAGATGGAAAAGAGACCACCTTTGTGGGGCACCCATGAAAAGGAGATACTGCCCGTCTGCAGAAAGAAAGCTGTGAAGCAGAGAGAAGCAAAGTTGAGAGACCTGAAGGCATGGGCGAAAGAGGCTTCTGTCATCCTGAGTCCTGGTTGGTTACCTTCCCTTAGATTCCATGAGATTCTCCAAGTTCTATTCAAAATACATTATTCCCTGGATGAAGTCAAAGAATCCAATCATAAAACAAAAGCAAAAAAAAAAGAAAAAAGAAAAAAATAAAGTTAATATTTGATTTTTAGGTAGGATGGACGTCCTATTCTTGAAAATAATGGAAATCCCTGTTTTAATATTTTTATTAAAAAATAAATAAAAAAGGAGGAAACAAAAAGGCAACTCACAAAAAAAGAAATACAAGTGGCCAATATACATTTTAACAGATGTATTATGTCATTCCTAGTTTAAAAAATGGATTAAAACAACAATAAAGTATCACTTTTGCCTAATCAGATTGGCAAAGCTTTAAAAAGATTTATAATAGCTTCTGTTGGCAAGAGTGTGGGGAAACAAGTACTCTCAAGCACAACTGCTTCTGAGAATGTAAATTGATATAATTTTTCCTAAAGGTGAATAGATGTAAAGTTAGATGAATTGGTATGAAAAACTTGTAAAATATTCATGTGCTGTAGTCCAAAAATCTTAGGTTTACAAATAAGCTCTTCATAGAAGTATTATAATACATATAATAGTGAAAAGTTGACAAGTTTGAATTAGCCCAAATGTTTATGAATAGGAAAACTGTTGCAAAAAAAAGGATTTTTACCATTAAGCTTGCCTATACTATGTTAAGTAAAAAAAGAATAGGATCTAAAATTTGTATACTGTATGAACCTAAGTATGTAACAAAATGTTGGAAATATTAAGAGTTATTATTAATAATTTTATTTTTTATACTTTTCTATATTTAAAGAAATAAACAGATCAACTTTATATTCTTTAATTGGTTGATCTATTATCTCTGCTAACATAGAAAAATGTTTACAATATATTCTTAAATGAGAAAAGATACCACAAAAAGTACCATTACCTGTGATTCAATTTCTGAGAGAGATGCACAAATGAGTACAAGGGCTGT